TGATCAGTCTTTCTCGGCTTTGGCACCCATGGATACGCTGATGCGCTGATGCGCTGATGCGTTGATACCCTTTGCTAACAGGGGCAAATCTTTCGGATTGGCCCATATTTGGCTCTTCCTCGGTGGATTCGTCCTCCAACTCTTGCAATATCGGGTTAAGACCAGCCTACCTCACATTTAAGTGGAACAATGCCACGCTCCAGTGAACCCCATTTCCTAAGCACCATGCGTCAGTTCTCGACTCTTGGGTTCTTGGAATTTTCTGGGCGTAAGTAGTAGGGCTTGGAGATTTTCTCGAGTGATATTCAAGTCCTCGACTTTCTTCGTTCTGTTTTGTAACTCTTTTTGCACACTTATAGACTGCGTGTGTTTCGTTTTCTTCCTGCTGCGATTGACATTGTAGCTCGTTCATTCACTTCTCTTCTGCTATCTTCTTCCTTTCGTTGTGGAAGGATAGCACTCTTTTTTTTTCTCAATATTCCAAGTCTTACTTTTGACTTCCCTCGTCAGTTGGTAGAGGATCACTGGTGCTTACACTCCTCTTCCATCCTTCTTGTCCATACTGGGGTGATTCAGTTATTCTTGTTGTTGTTGGCCCAGTCAGGACTCGGCCCCCATACTTTACCTTCCCCTATAAACTGCGCGCTGTTCCTTCAGGAAAGGAGTCTCACTTTCAATCAAAAGACTACTATTCATTGCGCTCGTTGTTTTGTGTTGTGTTTCTAGACCCTCCTTGACTTGGATGTTCACTCTTTAACAGACTAATCCACATATTCCAACTGAGCTACAATCATGCAGCTCCTCCAGTCTCTCTTTTTGTTCTTGTTCTTCAGTTACAGCGCTGTTTCTTTGCCAACTTCAGGTCGCACTCAGCATAAGGGAAGATCTTACAAGGTCAGTCGGATTCGTCGTGGAGAGGGCGAGTTGCATGGTCCCTCGGCGCTGCGCAAGGCATATCGCAAGTTTGGCATTGTTCCCAGCAACCTCAACATCGAGCTGGAGGACTTCGCCCCCGTCACCACTGTCAAGCACAACGTCGTCGCTGCCAGCGATAACAGCGCCGAGCCAGACCAGGTCGGTGCCGTCAGCGCAACCTCTGTCGAAAGCGATGCCGAATTTGTTTCGCCTGTTGAAATTGGTGGCCAGAAGATCGTCGTGACCTTCGACACAGGCTCAGCGGACTTGTAAGGAGCACCGTTACAGAAGTTACTTGATCGGGATACTGACAAGAGATCGATAATAGCTGGGTCCTGGATACTCGTCTCAACAAGACACTTGATGGTCATACCCAGTACAACCCCGCAAACTCGACCACGTTCAAGGATATGCCCGGCGCAACGTTCAATGTCTCCTACGGTGATAACTCGTTCGCCGCTGGTCCTGTCGGAACCGACACAGTCAACATCGGCGGTGCAATCGTCAAGAACCAGGCCATCGGGATTCCGACTGAAGTCTCCCAATCTTTCATCGAAGACACCAACTCGAACGGTTTGGTCGGCCTGGGCTTTTCTTCCATCAACAGCATCGAACCCCAAGCGCAGAACACCTTCTTCGCTAATGCTGCGGCTAATCTTGACGAGCCTGTCTTCACTTCTGCCATCAAGAGTGATGGCGTGGGCGAGTATGGTTTCGGTCTGATCGATTCGAGCAAATACCAGGGCACCATGGCCAACGTCAGCGTGGATAGCTCCAACGGATACTGGCAGTTCGATACCGCCGAGTTCGCAGTGGGCAACGGCTCCATCCAGACGATCAACAACACGCAGACGGCGATTGCTGATACCGGCACTTCTCTCATGCTGATGGACCAGCAAGTGGTGGATGCTTACTACGCCGACGTGCCTAGCGCCGTGTATGTGAGCAGTGCTGGAGGTTACATCTTCCCTTGTAACACCACTCTCCCCAGCTTCTCGATTGCCATCGGCTCGCAGCACTTGGCTACGGTTCCTGGAAACCTGATTGAGTTCTCCAAGGTTGGCACCAACACCACTACTGGACAAGCTCGTGAGTACTTCCTACCTAAAGGCATAATCAAGCGATGCTTGACTAACAACTCTTAGTTTGCTATGGTGGCATTCAATCAAATTCGGGCGCCTCACTCCAGATCTTGGGTGACGTCTTTCTGAAGGCCTTCTATGTTGTCTTCGACATGCGTGGTCCTTCCCTGGGTGTCGCGGCGCCCGTGTGATTGTCTTCCGATGAGCACAGCCTCCGTTCATCTAACTTACTTAATACTGTGAGAATTTAAAGCTGCAATAGCATGCTGTAGAAAATGGAACTGTACCATTAGACCTGTGTCCAAAGTTGAATGAGCTGAGGTTGATGCACAAATCGTAGATGTATACGATGACTAATCCTATGGGCAGTCAATGGGATGCATAAAATTGTGATTGCACAGAACAAGGGGAAAGAAAAAGGAGATTCTACCCGCGCACAGCAGAATTGACAGCGCAACTTTGGATTTTTCCAGACAATTGCAATTTCCAATTCTCAAGATCCCCGTCTTCAGACTGGGATCGCTTTCGTGAGGCAAGTTGACTCCCATCAAAGCGGCCGTGAGCCTTCTGCGGGTCGCCAGAACAACCCCGCGGTTCGCTCCTCTTCCTTGGGCGACGGCAAGATCATTCGCTGCCCCTCCTCCTCCTCTGCTACGTCCTCTTCCACTTTCTCCAACACCTTCACCTCAACTTTCTTCCCACCACCCTCTCGCCATCCGCTCCTTCGCAAACATGGCCATCAACTCCGCCCCCGAGTCCTCCCTCCTCTCCCTCCTCTACCGGTCCTACCCGGCCGCCATCTCCCCGGACGCCACCGAGCCCGACCTCCAGACAGCCACCCCGAAAATCTTCCCGCACACCAAGTTTTCCGTCACCGAGGAGGCCGACGTCAAACAATGGCTGGCCACGATCTCCGGCCTGCAGCACGCCCAGGGCAAGGACGACCAGACGGTGATCGCCAACATCCTGGGCCTGCTGAACACCCATCTGGCCACCCGCACCACGCTGCTGGGCGCTAAGCCCTCCGTCGCCGACATTGCCGTCTACGCTCTGCTCGCGCCCCTCGTCGAGAAGTGGTCCCCCGAGGAACGCACCGGCGAGAAGGGCTACCACCACATCGTCCGCCACGTCGACTTCGTCCAGAACAGCCCGCTGTTCGCCCTGCAGATCCCCGAGGAGGAGAAGGTCGCCATCGACGTGACCGACGTGCGCTTCGTGCCTAAGCCCGTCGACCCCAAGGCCGAGAAGGAGCGCAAGAAGAAGGAGAAGGCCGCTGCCGCTGCCGCTGCCGCTGGCGGCGCGGAGGGCAAGCCCCTCGTCGTCGGCCAGGGTAAGCCTGCCGCCGAGAAGAAGCAGAAGGCCGATTCAGCCCCCGCTGCCGCCGCTGCTGCTACTGAGGCTCCCGCCGCCGCCGCCGCCGCCGCCGCCAAACCGGAAGGCGGCAAGCCCAAGAAGGAGAAGAAGGAGAAGCAGCCCAAGCAGCCCAAGGCCGCTCCGGCGCCCGCCGCTCCCCCGTCTCCTTCCATCATCGACCTCCGGGTCGGCCACATCCTGCGCGCGATCAACCACCCGAACGCGGACTCGCTGTTCGTGTCGACGATCGACTGCGGTGACGCCCCGGGCACCGAGAACACCTCCCTGGACGAGGCGACGGGCAAGACGGTGCGCACGGTGTGCTCCGGCTTGAACGGGCTGATCCCGCTGGAGGAGATGCAGAACCGCAAGATTGTCGCCGTCTGCAACCTTAAGCCCGTCACCATGCGCGGCATCAAGTCCGTCGCCATGGTGCTGGCCGCCTCTCCGCGCGTCGCCGAGGGCGAGGACTCCCACGCCGGCCCCGTCGAGCTCGTCGCCCCGCCCGCCGACGCCCCCGCCGGTGAGCGCATCACTTTCGATGGTTGGTCCGAGGGCGAGCCCGAGAAGGTCCTCAACCCCAAGAAGAAGGTCTGGGAGACCTTCCAGCCCGGCTTCACCACCACCGACAACCTCGAGGTCGCCTTCGAGAGCGCCGCCGTCCCCGCCGTCCAGGGCCAGGAGGGCAAGCCCGCCCTCGGCCTGCTGAAGACCGCCTCCGGCGGCATCTGCACCGTCAAGAGCTTGAAGGGTGCCACCGTTCGGTAAAGAGCGTTTTTCGATGTCCATGATATGTCCAGTTCAGCCCATTTGCAAAGGAAAGATGTGAAAGAATATTTATCTTATAACGTATACCTTGTCCTCCCCCGCGCCCCCACCAAAGAGAGAGAAAGAACTTAGCGAGTCCCCTTTTTGAACCCTAAAAGAGAAAATGTTATTTCATTTCACCATATTCTCCTCCTAAGACTCTACAGAACCTTCGAGAACGATGTTATATACACCCGAGGTAAATCGTACGGAGTAACTTTTGGTAAAGTTATTATGGCTTGAACGAAGAATCAGCTTCCTTTGGTAATGGTCTTCCCTTGCAGAGCACATGGACGGCCGGTGCATTGGGGAAGGGAGCGATGGGCCTTGTGTTACCAGCAAAACACTAAGTTGCATTCTCATAGTTAAATAACTGCCCTATTCGGTGCCTAAGGTAACAACTTGGAAGTTGTTTAATGTTGCAAAGTAGAGTGTGACAGTCACTTCATCATCACCCGCCAGTCGCAGCTGAGAGCCACCGCGGACACTGCTACTCTTTCCCCTCTTCGTGGGCCCCAGGCTTCTTCCTCCTCTTCCTGCTTATCGCACTTTACCAACGCAGCAGCAGCAGCTTGGTTCCAGTTCCGAGTGACCTCGACTCCTCTTTTCTCCTCTTCTACCCCGCATTTTGCAACCTCCCTCTAAATCAGAATGCAGGGACATATATATGGGGATCAAATAGTCCTATTTTATCCTCTTTCTCTGTGAGTCCTGGGTTCCCTTCACGCCACCGCCGAGCTAACCTTTCAGTTGTTGGACTTGAATTCAGTGTGGACTGTGTGCATTTTTGAGCATAAGTGGTATACATCTATCCTCAAATCTTGAGATTTACTATCCTTCACCATGAGAGCAGTCCGCTTCTACGGAGCTGGAGACATCCGGGTTGATCAGATCGAAGAGCCGGTCTGGAGAAGCAAGTCAAGGTATGTGTGTATACCGCGCGATTCCTAGCTTAACACCTTCTATTTTGCTCGGCCCTGACATGTTCATTAAGATCCGACCTGCGTTTGTAGGAATCTGCGGAAGTGGTAAGTAGTTCAATACAATCATACTCATAAGAGCATACTTGGCAGCACAGCCAACGGCAAACTGGAAATGATCATCGTTGACACAAGGCTCGTGTGTGTGCGTGTGTGTGATGTCAAGATTTGCATGAGTACACGTGCGGGCCGCATCTGGTACCCCTGATGCCACATGCGATCACCGGGGGAAAGCTCCCAACGACCCTGGGCCACGAGTTTAGCGGCATAGTCGAGGAGGTGGGAGCCGCGGTTGCAGATGCTGTCGCAGACCTCAAAGTAGGAGATCGGGTTGCTGTTCGGCCTAACTTGTCCGACGGGAGTTGTCCTCCCTGTTTGCGCGGAACTCCGAACTGTTGTCGTAATTTAGGTTTTGTGGGCTATAGTAGTAGGTTATACCTTTGCTTTTTTGGGGGGGGGGGGGGTCTGCTTCGGCTATCATCAGGCTGAAAAAAGACACTTTCAAGGCAATGCAGGGGGCTTGTCGGACCACGTCGTGGTTGACGCCGACCATGCCATTCCGCTACCAGACACCATCCCTTTGGATATCGGCGGTGAGGGAAGAGCTCTATCACTTTTCTGTCGCTAGTCTGGTGCAATCCGCTGACGCGATCTATATAAGCGCTTGTTGAACCGTTGTCTGTGGCGTGGCACGCAGTAGACCGCAGCCCTCTCGAGGGTGCTCGGACTGTTCTCGTCGTTGGAGGGGATCCTATTGGTTTGGCTGTGGTTCAAGTGCTTTTGGCACGAGGAGTCGAGTCTATCATCGTCGCGGAAGTCTCGTCGCGACGACGAGAATTTGCGAGTAAATTAGGCGCGACTCATGTCCTTGATCCTCGGACGCAAGATGTCGTCTCCATGGTACAAGCAATGACCGGGAACGCAGGCGCAGATGTGGCCTTTGAATGCTCTGGCGTGCAAGTTGGATTGGATACGGCTCTTCGGGGCATCCGGGTCCGAGGAACGGTCACGATTGTGTCGCTCTGGGAGGGAAAACCGATCATAGACGCCCGCGCCATTGTGCTAGACGAGAAGCATGTAATCGGGGCGGCAATATTTGCCGATGGAATCTTTCCTGCTGTCATTGAAGCTATAAGCTCGGGTAAGCTTGAGTGGCGTGCCATCCCTGCCCTCCCATGCGCTTCGCTGATTGTTGATTCGTTGTTTCGTAGGCAAGCTCAATCCTCAATCCATGATCACCAGCAAGATTCGAATGGAAGACATTGTCGAAAAAGGATTTGAAGCCCTGATCCACGAGAAAGACAAACATGTTAAGATCTTAGTTGACATCTCGGCATGAAGCCCAGGAGGGAGGAACTCAGGTGAGACAAGACGCCCTGGTCAGATGCGGCTGTAAAGGTCGCACAGTTGTACCTCAAAGTAGTGTTTGTGTTGTCAAGTCCTTTTCCGAAGCCATACATGACGGCCCAAGGCGTGTGTGATGGCACATTTAGTGTGTATAATGACGCCAGCCACTCTCGGTCTACTGGGAGCTGAAGGCAAGAACCGAAGCCTGTCAGCAATGCCAAGAGAATCCGGCCATGATAATCCTGGGCTAGATACTCATACATACCTACCAGCACTTCCTTCGTCTGCTTCTTCTTTCTGGTTCTCACCTAAACCCCCGGGGATGCCCGACAGCAAACCAGAACAAAGCCCTGAGTTCAGTTAGCGTAGTGTAAACGGTTTAACCTCATTTGGGTACTCAAAGCGACGATATCTTAGCCTCAGGAATCAACACGTGTGGATACGAACGACGGGCGGGCGTTTTCTGGTTCTTGGCGAGGTTTGATGAGTGTAACCACGACAGCACGGCGGTCCATTCCACCGGAACTACTGACACACTACTCGGCTGACTGCACTGACTGCACTGGCTGCGAATGAGGTGTGATGATGCCAAGAAATACACGTCGAGAAGGGCAGAGCTGAGCGGGGTTATTCCTCGTTCTCTCGTATAACCAACCCCGAAGTCATGATGTCGTAGCACGTAACTGAAGACTCCTTTGGTGGTAGGAGTGGTTCCCACCATCCGATGATGCCTTAGGTACAGTGTTAGTCTAGTATTGTACAGCACAGTCATACAAAAGAGTAACCCAGAGATTCGGGCTCCGGACTGGCCATGTTCCAGCCCCGGGTTGTCTAGATGCAAAGCCGACAGGCTAAACTTTCGGATCTTCCATGATCTAGACGTTTGAAGTGTCAGACTAAACGGTCACTGGCAGACAGCCAGACCGCTGGGCAAAGGTTCGGCGAGTACGGAGTACTACCCAGCCTCCAGGGTACATGTAAGAACTGCCCAGTGTACATACAACTGAGTACATATCTCTCTCCTCCTTTCGGATATCGGAACCTGATATGTCTTCTCCGACCGAGCTTTGTGCGTCTTGTGAGGCTGTGAGTACCCTGTACTTTTTTTAAACATTTCTTACAGATGGCAAACCTCTATCACGCGGTTTTGAGGACAATAGTCGCAATGCAAACGACGAAGAAAAGCAACAATTCGACATGCTCCTTCCTCCGTATGTACCAGGTGCACTGTATACCGAGATACCGTACTACGGTTACCCCGGTGGCTGCAGAAGAACATGCGTTCGATCGCGCAACATTCATGATTCGACCCTATCCGAACAGGGCGGATCAACGCCACCTTGTTTCTTGTTTTTTTTTTCTTTTTGTTTCTTTTTGACGGGGATTGCGGATCTCCGGGTCGATGCGAAGGGAATCAAAGTTCCCTCCCTTAAAAACTTACGGACCTAAACCAGCGGAACTGGGGGAGATCGTGACTCCATCCCCCGCTTGATGAGATGTCATCCACACCTGGTAGCGGAGACAATCCCCCTCTCCCCTCTTTGTATTTGGGCCAAGCTCGCGGTTGTTGCGAGTTGATGGTCAATGACTAGTGGTTGTTTTGTTTTGTTTGAGGCGTGTGTGAGTTATATCCACGGTTCTGGGAGTTGGGTTGAGAGTTCGCCCACATAGGTTGCCGTCATCCGACCTCGAAACAACCTCGAAGGGGTCCGGGGTAAACGAAAGCATCGGAAAATAAACACACAAAGAGAGGTCACTTGGGGAAGTTGGGGAGTTTAATCATTCGGATTCATTGGGTCGCATTCGTTCTTTCTCGAGTTTTCCCCCCGGACTAGGCTTACACTCCTTCCTACTACGTCCAGTACCTCCGACTAAGATAACTTACTAACTTACTTACATCCTTACATTCAACCATACCTACATTCAGTCGTACATACTCGCTTGACATTACTCAAGCAGGGACTGGATGGGTCCCAATGTACTAAGAACCTTTGAATGAGGGGTTTTGCTAAAGGAATGGATTATTATGGGGCACTTTGGAATAATGGAAGGATTATTACAGTCCCTGGATGCGATTCAACTGGACTAAGACAGTCAAATGGCCATGTCCGATGCATGTATGTCTCGCCTGCAAGACTCCCTTTTCCCCCTCCCAATATGACCTGATTTGTGACCTGATCTGGGTGACCTAACATTCGACTTTTCTTTTTCTTTTCTTTTTCTTTTTTTCACTGCCCGCTTGGCTTAGAATAGAACTGGGAACTTGCCAGACAGCCTCTGTACCAGCAGATTGTTCTGTACCCTGGATGGAAGTATGAACCGTACATCCATCCGGTCGAGTTACTGATCGTCCTCATCTTATCAAATATCGATCGATCAGTACTATTTATTATGGACAGTCCGTCCTTGAAATTGGCTGGTCAACAATGTCTCTCTCTTACTTTCTCGATTCAGTTTAAATCAACAATACTTCGTTGTTCACTTTCATATTTCGTCTTCATCTCTGGGTATTGACCCATCTTAAAAGAAACCCACCGAGAGAGGTCCTAGTCTACCAAGATCTCTCCCATCTATTAATACACCATCGGGAATCGCGTGTGGCTCTTCCGAGGTGGAACCGTCCCCTCCCATCCCACCAAACGAAACCCCCACTCATAGACCCGGTGTTTCACTCTGGTTGGTGTCGCTGAACTCTTAGGGGATCTCACTATTTTTTTAGGGGCTCTTCGGGTCTTGGGCCTTGGGGGAGGAGGTCCTTTGGGTTCAGTCTGGCACATCATCAATCATCCTTCCTTGCCGCAAGGCCGGTTTTCGGTTGGGAAGCACCTTTTTTTTTTCCTTGGTTTGCAATCCCGATCGACTGGCTTCTAGTGGTTCTTCCAGGTATTATTCTTCTTCTTTTCCTCTTGGTCTGCCTCCTTTCGTCCTTCCCTTCTTTTTTCGTTTATTGTTTTTTTTCTGTTGGAGAAAAATATCACATTCGTTTTCTGCCTTCGACTTATATTCTGATTTGTCTGAATTGGCATCATCTCGGGCTTTCTTTTCCATTCGCCTGCCGCCCGGCCTGGCCTCTACAGACTTTAGCCCCTAAAATCTTCTTCTACTGTTACTTACTACTTGACTAGTCGGTCTTGTCGGCTGGCTCACTTGGAAGCGGACCGACTTTCTCGTTCGCATAGATTTATAACCGCGTTCTAACCTCCTTAGATCTTGCGTCGCCATTCACTGTTCTCAGTCTAGACTTGCTGGCTTCGGGTTGAAGCATGTCGGACTGACCTTTCTAAACGTTGCACGATCTGTCTCTACTGTACCCTTACGGTAAACTTCTTCTACCGCCTGCTCGATTCTTGTGCTTCGTCCTTACCATGGGAACTCCACTGCATGGTACAGCCATTATCACCGGGGCCAGTGGCCTGCTGGGATCTGAGATTGCCATCTCCATCGCCAAAGCACAGCCCTTTGTCCACCTGTTGCTGGTGGCTCGGGGTATCAGATCCGATAGCGTGAAGGATGTATTAAGCCGCATCCGCTTGATTGGGCCGCGGTCCGTCGAGGTGGTCAAGTGTGATCTGGCCTGCTTCAATTCGGTGGCGAGCTTTGCACAGTATACTGTGGAGAGAGTTCGCAGTAAGGAGATTCCTCCTGTCACCCTCCTGATCAATTCCGCGGCCAGCTCGTCATACGTCACCGATCAAGTCACACGAGATGGGTACGACCCGGTCTACCAAACCAACTGCATCGCCCCGTTCTTGTTGACGGTGAGCTTGCTCGAGGCTTTCCGAGCCGGCGACGGAACCCCAAACGGCGGTGCCCGAGTCATCAACATCGGATGCGCCGCCATGTCCAAAGGGTCCCTGGACTACTTCGATGAGCAGGACCCGGACAACGCCAGCCAGGCCCCGGGAACTCCTCTCAGTGCAAAGGAAGCCACCGCCCGGTTCGGAAGTAGTAAGCTGTTGATGAGCGCTGCTATGTATGCCTTGCGCCGGAGTCTGGTACTCGTGAGTGAGCCCTTGTTTATTTCTCCAGAGTGATGACTGACTGTGTTATTGTAGGCGGGCAACATCTCGCTCAATGTATATACGATGGACCCCGGATTTATGACCGGAGAGAGCCATCTCACCGCCTCGGCACCTTTGTCGGTGCGAATGGCGCATCAGACCCGGTCTGGACTCCGGCCTATCTTGCGGGTTTTCTCCAAAAGTGCAATCAATAAGGCTAGTGTTCCGGCCAAGGTCATTGCTAAAGTCGCATTCCAGAGAGAAACGGTGGAGAACTGGGGCAGAGAGCGCTATTATATCTTGGATAGCGAGTATGAGGCCGGATCCGTCATTCCTGTGTTGCGAGACTTGCCGCGCATGGATGCGCTGCTGCAGAAGGTGATGCGACAAGTCGAGATCGGTGTCAAGGGCATGGGTTCGCCCCAGTCCAGGGTGTCCCGATTAAGTGCCCACTGATCGGGACTACTCGGTTATTTTGGATTCTCATCTTGGTCATGGCGTTCTTATCTTGCATTCATCATGTCGGTTTTGTCGTTTGGGGGGAAAGGAGTTCAAAAATCCCGAGCATTCTTTGAGGCGTCTTATCGGTGTGCAATCCTGGAGTTTTTGTCTTTTTCTTTTCTTTCTTTGCGAAACCTATATTATGATAGGGATGTTCTGTAAATAGAGGTTATATCTGTATACATGCAGAATCAGTTCAATGAAGAAGAGTAACTGAGTCGGTCATTCATTCATTCATTCATTCGTTCGTTCGTTCGTTCGTTCATTCTTCGGCTTGAGGAATGTGGGAAGTGCAGTGATGGAGCTGAGCTACGGGGATGAAGATGGCTGCAAACGGGCGGGCGGCGGGAAGAAGATTGAGTCTCGTACCGCATTCGGGTCTGGTCCAGATTCGCCCGCGGATCCCACCTGGCGGCTTTTGGTCCAAAGGACCGCCTGGAGCCTACGTACGTCCTCTCTCGACGCAATCATTGCTCCCGGTCAAAGCCTCGGGGGCTGTTCAGTTCCTTGCCTCCCTTTGTCTTCCGTTCCGCATCTTTTCTCTTCATCACCGATCGCGGATTTGCGATATTTCCGCTGGTCTTCATTTCTCCAACCTCAATTCACCTCTTCATCCTCTCCGTCGGCTGCGATTTCGTTCGGTAGTCTGAGGAAGAAGTTTCTCCAACATCAGAACCTCGACGATTGGTTTGTAAAATCAAGTCGATCGCCTTAGCTGCATGTCATCTTAGGAGAGATGAACAGGCATCACGCCTTCGGCAACGGCTACGCTGCCTATCCCCGTGGCAAGAGCAACAACTCATTCTCCATCTCCCCCCACCGGTACGCGGTCCTTTCCTCCGCGAATGTCGCGCGCCAGAATCCTGTATCACGTCGATGAGATACAGCGCCGTGTCGACGGAAAACTGAGTAAATCCGTCCGCTAACCTGGGCATTTAGTAGTTTCCAACCCCGGGCACAACCTGCCTTGCGCCGCCGGAGGCAACTCTTCCAGCGACTATGTCTTCTCTGCGGTGTCTCCCTGTTGCTCCTCGTCCTGATCTTCCCGTCGCTGCGCGCCTCCCTCCTGCCGGTGGTATCGCTCGGCCTCCTCCACCCCTACGAAGACCTTCAGATCGAGACGATCCGATACTATGACCTCTCTAAAGTGCAAGGGACCGCCAGTGGCTGGGAGCGCGGGGAGCGGGTGCTCATGTGCACTCCCCTGCGCGATGCCGCCTCCCACCTGCCCATGTTCTTCTCGCACCTGCGGAACCTCACCTACCCGCACAATCTGATCGACTTGGCCTTTTTGGTGTCGGACTCCGAGGATGACACGATGGACATGTTGACGCGCATGTTGGACGAACTCCAGCACGATGCGGATCCGAAGATGCCGTACGGCGAGATCTCCGTGATCCAGAAGGACTTTGGACAGCTGGTCAACCAGGATGTGGAGAGCCGACACGGCTTTGCCGCGCAGGCCAGCCGCCGGAAGCTGATGGCCCAGGCTCGGAACTGGCTGCTGAGCGCCACGCTGCGCCCTACGCATAGTTGGGTCTATTGGCGCGACGCGGATGTCTTGACCGCGCCGCAGACGATTCTGGAGGATCTGATGCGGCATGATAAGGATGTCATTGTACCGAGTGAGTTTTTGAGACTTCGTTGGCCGCTCGCTTGTTTGTATTATGCTCATTCTGACTTATGGTGACCAGATGTGTGGCGACCCCTTCCCGACTGGCTGGGCGGAGAGCAACCGTACGACCTGAACTCGTGGCAAGAATCTGAAACGGCGTTGGCGCTAGCCGACACGTTGGATGAAGACGCGGTCATCGTGGAAGGGTATGCTGAATATGCTACCTGGCGTCCTCATCTTGCCTACCTGCGCGACCCGTACGGAGATCCGGACATGGAGATGGAACTCGACGGCGTAGGAGGTGTCAGTATTCTGGCGAAGGCACGGGTTTTCCGCTCCGGGGTGCACTTCCCAGCTTTTAGCTTCGAGAAGCATGCCGAGACAGAAGCCTTCGGCAAGGTGCGTATCCGGCGGGGCTGTCATCTTGTCGTTGCGTGTGCATGAGACTAACACTCGGTAGATGGCCAAGCGCATGGGGTTCTCGGTCATCGGCCTCCCACATTACACTATCTGGCATCTTTACGAGCCGAGCGTGGACGACCTGCGGCACATGGAGGAGATGGAGCAGGAACGAAAAGAACGCGAGATAGAGGAGAAAGACCAGGCCGACCGTGCCGAGCGCGTTCAGACCCTGTTCAAGGATGCCAAGACGCAGTGGGACATCGACCATGCCTTCGTCGAGGACGCAATCGCCGAGGATCAGAAGCAAGAGACCGCCGCTTCAGGTTCCTCCTCAGGCGAGACGCTTAAGGGCTCGGAGGAAGGTCCTCTAGCGCAGCCAGCTGTGAAAGAGAGGGGTGGTGCTGGACAGAGCGGCGAGGTTCCTGGTACTCAGATGGAAGAAGCTAAGCGTTAATGGAGCTTTCTTCTGCTGACAGGTATTGAGCTATCTTCTGTTCATGTTTGACATGCCACTCCTGTGCTGGTCATAGGCTTGACGTCCTTTTGTCATGTTTTCAATGTACCCTGGCGTTTCCGTGTTCTCCGCGTTGCTATTCTGTCAATAATCGATTACTAGAAGATTTTGCATAGTGTCGTCGACCTTATCATAATGGGTCGAATTCCGATTATAGTATAAAACATAGACTCAACCTTTTTCCATCTTCTATCTACAAATCATAATCAAACCCAATCAGAGTAACTAAAGATTTTGTCCCTTACAGATTCACTCCAGATGGAAAAAAACTGGCCGACCAAACCCATGTCCATGGAATAATACACCGTTAGTAACCGATAAGAGCAACCGCCCATTAAGCGGTGGCCCGTGCGTCTATCAATGCCGCGGTCACCTCCCTCCCAAAGGCCCAGTCTCCATCCAACGCGTCCCGCGTCAAATCTTCCAGTTTCCGCCAGCAGAGGAGCCTCCAACTTTCCTCCTCCCTCCTCATTCCTTCAATCCCCCTTTCTTATCGAAAGAATCTCTACAAGAACAACTCCCAGCAGTCAGAGGAGGATACCAAAATGTCCACTCAATCCGCCCAAAGCATCCTCTTCACCCACACAGCCCCGCAACAAGGCTTCCGATTACTCGAACTCCCCCCGGAGGTCGCGGACCTCCTCGCCTCGGAGAACGCTCCTACGTACGCATTTTCCCTTCTCCTTTTCCTCCTCAGCCCCTTGACCCTTGAGGCCGGACGGGTATGCTAATGAAGTAAAAGACTATACCTCAAAACCCCCACCACCACCACCACCACCACCAGCAAAACGAGTGACCCGCGCGAATACGTCAACCTCTGCACCCCGACCCAAACCTACCGCATCCGTCAGGTCCAGTCCTCGAATTCCCTGCATATCTTGAGGCCCAGCGATAGGGGGGGGAGTGATACGGCCCTCCGGCGCGAGGATCTGGCTGTTGTGGATAGGAGGGCGGCTGCTGCTGTCGTTGCTGCTGCATCACAGGAGGGGGAACAGGGTGGGGTAGGGGTTGCAGATGAGGATATGGACGTTGATGTTGAGGTGGATGTGGGTGTCGATCTCGCGGAGACGTTGACGACGATCGCGAAGTGCGGGTCGACGCTTGAGTTGCATGTGCCGGAGGGGGGGTTCCGGGCTGCGGAGTTTCTGGGGGGTTTGGTGGGGAGATTTGCGGGGGGGACGAGTGCTGCTACTGCGACTACTGGTGGTACTGGTGGTGCGGGGGTCGCGGAGGGCAAGGTGATGGAGGCTGTGTTCGCTGATATCCCGGTTTCTCGGGCGGAGTGTGAGAGGGGTTGGGTCGAGGGGTGTGCGTTTGTGTGGCGGGGGAGGGCGTGGGTGCCGACGCCGGAGGTCATGATGGAGGTGTGGAAGCGGGTGGTTGATGGGGCGGTGGTGCAGGGGATTGATCTCCGTGCCCAGTTTCTGTTGGATGACCTGTGGAAGTCGGTGGTGGCGGAGGAGGATGAGGAGGAGGAAGAAGAGCAGTTCCCCCGCGCTTTGTTTGAGGCCGTCGTGCGACGCGTGGTTGAGGGGGAGGTGGGGAAGTCCTTGCTCGGTGAGACGTTGAAGTGTGAGTTTTTTTTTTTCTCGGTTTCTGTGTGGAGGTCTTGTTGTTGTGGTTTGCTGATGCTTTCGGGCTTCCTGATGTAGGGGCGAGTCTGGACAAGGATGCTTGTGTACGATGGGTTGGAGAGACGTATCTGGAGGCTATGGCGCCGATGGCGAGTGCGGCAGTTGGCCGCAGTGAGTTTCTCAGCGCTTGGAAGGATCATCTACCTGAGGCTTGGAGGGAGGAGGTGGCTCTGGCTAAATTGACGGTAAGCTGGTATTTGTTCTGTGCATGCAAAAGACGGTCTCCATTGACCTTCGTGTTAATTACAGGACGCCGTTTATCAACTGCCCGACCCGACGACCATCTGCTTCGTGACGGAATTCGAACGACAGCGGTCCAAGAAGAATCTGCCCACCGATGCTAGTGCGTCAACCGCGGCCAAGAAGTCCAGAAACTGGCACGAGCTCTTCAAAAATCAAAAGCGACAGAAGCGGTGACGCTCTAATGTATTCTTCCACCAAATGCACGGCTCCGGAAATGCAAATCAAAAACAAATCAGCACCAGGCATATTTCTCATTCAGGCACCACTCCACTGTCTCGCCCAAACCGTGCTCGGCGCCGCTCCATCTCAACGATGCGATACTGTCCTTCTGACGGTGAACTAACTCGGCATTGGGCGCGATCATGGCCACTGCCTTTTGCAGAAGGGGTGTCGGATTCCAGAATTCCACCGTGCTCATATTCCACTTGTGTGCCTCGAATTGCGCGCGCTTCAAGATGGCAGCCATGGCCTTGACTGTCCGCTGTGTTTCTTCCGGCGACGTCGGCTCCTCATACACCCACCGCAGAATATACAGAGTGTTTTCCTCGGGCTCTGAACCGAAATTCCTGTTCCATGCACAGTACACGCGCGCTGCTTCTTCGCCAGCGCCTTTCACTGCGGGGGCTTCTCTATCGGGGAAGAGAGACTTAACGAAGAACTCCTCCCTTGCCCAATGCCATTTGAGATGATCATAGTCCGGCGCAATTGCAATTTTAGGAGTGTGCGTCTTCAGGGATTCCACTCGGAGGAATTCGCGCTCTTTCTCCAGGATTTGCTCATTGCACACGCGGTCTCGGACATCTTCTGCAGTCAACGTCATGACCTTGGGAAGGATATCTTCAGCCCCGGTCGAAGAATACTGCTCCTCAGCGATTGCTGGGAGCGCGAAATGAGAAGACAAAAATGGCTTCCAGCCGAATTGAGCATAGAAGTTCTTTCCGATGTCGGAGAAGAGGATGCTGAAGAGAGCCTTCTTCCTGCTTTCAGACTCCATATTCCAGGTGTCGACCTTCTTGCTGAGTTCCTCCATCATCCTCTTCGCATATCCTTTGCCTCTGAATTCAGGCCGGCAGTAAACACTTCCTATGCCGTGCGTTGAAACATCTTCCACTCGGCCGTCGTGCGCCAGCCAGGCCTTCTTTTTGTACGTTTCACATGAGCCTAGGATGGTTCTCTCTCCTACAGGCTCTCTGTTATCGACCAAAATCCAGCTGGTCAGACCATGCTTGATTAACTGCTGCGCATGGAGATGGCTCTCGCGCGCGATATACGTGTCAAGGTCCAGACGGCCTTTCCAGGCGATGCTGTTCAGCTTCAGAGCTTCATTCTTCTCCGCAGGAGTCGCCGGAACTAAAACGAGGTCCGGAGAATCACCCTGCGGGAGAGCAACCCCGTTGGTGTAGTTGTTATCGGCAGCAATCATGGTGTCTTCAGAATCACTTAAGGAAGGGGAGGTTTCCTGTCTTGGGATGGAGAGGAACCGTGGAACGGACGGAGCTTGGTATATGTACGAAGGCAAATGACCCAGTGACGTGTTTCCACACTCAATTGTAAACACGACGGTAAACCCCGTGGACTGTACGTATTTCACAAGTGAATGGGGGAAAGGAGGAGCTGCAAGGGGTGAGGGGTCTTTGGTAATATAAGAAATGAATGCTCTGGCTCGATGACGATACGGCAGGCTAACAACAATGGTACCAAAGGAAGTCAACTCCGACGGGGAAGGCTTCCTATTCGCGGTGGTGGCCGAGGGCAAGCGACGACAAGCGACGCCTTTTCCCAGTTGAGATGCGTACTGTACCAACTATACTTCGAATGATGTAGGTCAGCTGCAATTGTTCACGCTTGTTTGGATCGGCGATGACCAATGCCAAGGGTAGAGTGCTGCTAAAGTAGGTGATGTTGTAAGGCGTGTGTGTGCCTTGAAGATTTGGGAAGCTCACGATTATTATCGATAGGTAAATTGGATAGTAACGAAGGTAACTAAAAACTACATACCCCGTCGCTAGCCTTTTCAATTCTTCGATAAACCGGAGCTCCGGCTTATCGGGGACCGACGGGGGAGGGAGAAAGAG